AGTCTTCCGACGCGCTGGTATATGTCATCGACAGCTCGGAGGGGAAGGGCAGAGTGTAGGCATCCTGCGCTGCATCGGCCCCAGCAGGTAGCAAGGGGGCGTGCCACTCAGCAAGCCCACCTCCTGCAACTGGCGCTCGCGTGCACGTGATTTCTCTTTTGCCGACCCGTTGCGTGACGTGGGACGGGCGGGAGCGAGTGTTCGTTCCCCTCTGCCGTTGGGGTGGGTTGACCGGCCGGGCTGCAGCGCCGGGCCAGGCTGCAAGGTAAGCGTGATCAACATGTACAATGTTTTGGGAATTCCCCCATGTGCCCAAGCAGCTTGAGATAGTAGTGAGCTTGCCCAGCGATCTCGAGGGTTGTTTTGTTCGAGGCCAGCGGGGAAAGCCTAAGGCAAGCACAGCATGCTGAAAGCCGTCCAACCGCCTCCGCTCTGATTTGTCCAGTCTGCCGGAACGCAATGATGATGGTACGCGTTTCATAGCATGGTTTTGATACGTATATATGGCATCCCCGCGATTGTTGAGTTACGCGTGCTTCCATGCTCGCACAACAGAATCACATCCAGTGCCAATTTACATGTTTGCTGGCGCGGATCCCAAACAGGGTTTTTTTGCGCTCTCGGTGTGCAACCTTTGTGCTACAATATGTGTTTTAATATGGTGATGTTTGAGGTGTAGCCTGCTAGGCGCGACGCATGGGTTGCAAGTCGCTGGTCAAATTGGGATTCGTCAACTCCGCTGCTCGTGCAGACATCCCATCCGCCCACCCGTAACATGTTGGCAACATTTTGGCGGCGACACCGAAGATGACGATGACGATTATGACATCCATTACGGCGGTAGGGGCGATGCCGACGACGGCGATGGTGATAGTGCTGGTGATGGTGATGACGCTGATGGTGGTGATGATAACGGTGGCCGTGCAGACGCTGGCGATGATTATTACGATGGTGTTGATGAGGATGATTAGGAAGTGCGCGCGCTTGAACTTGGCTAGGGCGACGACATTGACGATGACCTCCGTGAAGGCGGTGGTGATGATGGCGATGACGATGGTGATGACGATGACGAGGGCACTGGTGACACTGGCGCGACTGTGCAAATGAAGATGCTGAGGAAGTGCGTGCCCGCAGACATTCAGAATGTCTGGCATGCTGTTATTGCAGATCCATGGGGATTTCGTATGTTTCGGGCGCACCTGTGTCGGAATGCTCGGGCCGCTCCGGTTGCTCATGACGGAAGTCTTCCGCCTCTGAGTGCTCGCCCTTCCCTCCCCCCCCGCGGCCGCCTTCTCCTTTCCCCTCCTCATGCATGCCGGCCAGTTTGCTGTGTAGTGCCCCTGCATCGCTGCCACGCTGGAGCGGATCGTCCCGCCTCGCTGCCAACGGAAAAACTGTGTCGGAATGCTCGGACGTCCTTTGGGCGGCGACGGCGAACACGGAACCGCCAAACCCCCCCCCCTCAGTTCTTTGGAACACAGGTCAAAAACCCGAAGTGCAAGCCCGATTTGGGGTGTGTACATACACATATATACATTTACATATATATATATATATATACACATAAAGATGTATGTACTGTACACATCCATACACATTGGACTTGAATTTGTTTGTGGGTCATTTTGACTTGCGCGCGCGGGGGCACGTTAATGTGGCCCTTGTTGTCTTCTTTGTCAGGGCTGGGCGTGAGGGGACCGAGAGCTCTTCGGCTGGCGCTGTATTATCTGAGGTTTAGAACGACGGGTCGTGAAGGGTAAATCTGCACATGCAACACGAGGAGGCGAGGGGATAATTTGGTTTCGGCTGGGTTTTTTTGTTCACTGTGTATGTTTATGCATATATACATAAATGTATCTAGATGTTCGGTTGTTGCTTATTGAAAAAAACGCGGGACATATTTAAGCCTGTCAGCTCCAATGGTCGCGCAGCATCCTTATCATTTACCGGCTACTTACTTGCACAACTCAGCCGGCGCAGTGTTGCGAAGACCCTTCACATGCAGCTCCATGGGCGGGTGAATGGTGACGGTGGCATCGGCGAAGGCGGCGATGATGATAATGATGATGACGATCATGATGTTCGTGGTGGTGGTGGGCGATGATGATTGCGACGGTGGTGGTGATGATAACGATGGAGATGGCGATGCAGATCATGTTGGTGATCATGATGGTAATGATGATGATGATGATGATGATGGTGATGATGATGATGATGGTGATGATGATGATGATGATGATGATGATGATGGTGATGATGATGATGATGATGATGATGGAAGTTGCAGTGACAACGATGACGATGATGACGATGATGACGATGATGATGATGACGATGATTTTGGCGAGGATGATGAGAAAGCGCGCGCGCACAGAAATTCTGACAGAGTTCTGATTGGGAAGTGATGTATGTTCGTTATGCGTTTGTAAACGCATCGATGTTGAAATATGTTGACAGTCGCAGGTTTTGGAGGATGTCGACGTGTGCGCGCGGAGACGTGCCGGTGTGGCCCGTATTGAATTTTTTTTGCGGAGCTGGCGGGTGTTCGATTGTTGTTGGCTATTTTCGGCATGTCAGCGCGGGTGGCCCGCATGACCTCGTTTGAACTAGCAGCCAAGAGAAACAAGTCAGGCTGTGCTCATGGTGTTCGCAAGTACGTGTGCGCAGCAAGTTTGATTTCTCTTTTGGGAAACAGCGCTTTTGTCTTTCATACGTGTTTGCGTAGTCTTTCCCTTCAGGTTACGAGGGAACCAGTGGTTTACGAATTGTTTTGGCATGCGAGCGCAGGGGCGCGGGGCGCGCGCTTGCGGTCCGCATTGCGTCACTGGATTCGGGTTCGTTCAACATGTATGTGAACTCGAAACGGGTGCTCAGCTTGTTTTTGGGGCCATGGCTGAGGGGTGGCTGAACAGAGGCGTGGCCGGGATGATATCATGATAGTTTAAAGCAGTCGGTTGCACATAACAATTGGACAGAAGCCAATACGCGGTGGTGAAGCGTCGAGTCCAGCCTCGGCATCGCTGCAAAATCTAATTTTGACGAAATAATGGAAAGCACTCCTGCTGTCATTGCCACCATTACAATTATGATTAGTGCTGCTACTACGACTCCCACTACAACTGCTGCTATTATTTCTACTACTACTACTACTACTACTACTACTACTACTACTACTACTACTACTACTACCTCTTGTATTACGACGACGGCAACGACGACGACGACTATTATTATTATTACGACTACTACTACTACTGCTACTACTATGAGTAGTATTACGATTACGCCTACTACTATTTCTACTACTACTACTACTACTACTACTACGTCTACTACTACTAATACTACCACCACCACTACTACTACTACTACTGCTACTACTACTACTACTACTACTACTACTACTACTACTACTATTACTAGTACTGCTACTACTACTACTACTACTACTACTACTACTACTACTACTACTACTACTACTACTACTACTACTACTACTACTACTACTACTACTACTACTACTACTACTACTACTACTACTACTACTACTACTACTACTACTACTACTACTACTACTACTACTACTACTACTACTACTACTACTACTACTACTACTACTACTACTACTACTACTACTACTACTACTACTACTACTACTACTACTACTACTACTACTACTACTACTACTACTACTACTACTACTACTACTACTACTACTACTACTACTACTACGATTATTTTTTTCTACGACTACTACTACTACTACAACTACAACTGCTACTACTACTACTACTACTACTACTACTACTACTACTCCGTAGCCATGTTGGCTCAAGGCCATGCATCCCCAGCGGGTGCAAGTCACGACGTGGCGCTGCGAGCACTCTGGGGGAGTGCTGGCGGAGCCAAAATCCTCTTTCACGATTCAGTGCGATCTTGTCTGCCGCCCCAGTCCCCGCGCGCGATGGGCAGCCATGGGCGTGGAGGCGCCGAGGGAGCAGTGGTTGTGCTCCGCGGGCCCAAGTCACCGCTGTGGCTGTGCTCCTGCGGCTGCGCATCCAACTGGGCCAGCAGGCTCAGGTGCCGTGAGTGCGACCGGCGTTGCTCCACCAAGGTCGAGGACGCCGCCAGGAAGGCTCACAAGGAGGTGCTCAAGGGTGGGCCCAAGCCTGGCAGCCACCCGCAGCCCCGCGGTGCATGGGCGCGGCAGAAGCTGGCCCCCTGGGAGCACGACAAGCTCCAGAGGCAGGACAGCGAGCTGGCGGCCCTGCGGCAGCAAGTCGAGGCACTCAAGGCCGACAGCGCCAAGGCCAAGCTCACTGCACTCAGCGACCTCAAGGAGGAGCTGCAGAAGCTTGGAGGAGGTGAGCAGGCCACGAGCTGCGTCAAGGCCGTCGAGGCCAAGTACTCAGAGCCGCCCAAGCCCAAGAGCCTCCCAGCCTTGGAGGGTCAGCGCAGGAAGCTCGATGGCCAGCTCCAGAAGGCCCTCGCCAAGGTGGCGGAGCTTGAGGACCAGCGCGGCAAGCTCGACCAGAGGATCTGCGAGGCCAAGGATTCGGCCGCCGAGCTCAAGAGCAAGCTGCAGGCGGTGGACGCTGAGATCGAGTCCCGCCATGCCGCTGGCGTCCTCGGCGACGGGCTCAGGGGCCTGGCCAAGATGCTGGAGCAGTTCAAGGCTACGGCTGTGGAGAACCAGGCCGTGTTGCAGGGCCTCATCCAGCTGCATGACGTCGTCAAGAAGGAGCAGGAGACCCTGGAGGCAGCGGACGACGCTGCTACTGGCGATGGCGATGGTGATGACGCTGCTGTCCCAGGCAGCGGGGATCCACACGAGGGTGTCCCAGGCAGCGCAGGGTCAGGGGGGGGTGTCTGTCCCCGTCCCTGACGAGCTTGTCGACTGTCTCATGGAGGACGCCCCAGAATGCGAAAGCGTCGAGCAGCGACGCAAGCGCTTCAGCGACATCATCGAGGCCCAGCTCAAGCGGCCGCGGGTTTGATAG